TTACTATCCACTTAAATTATTCCAGAGCTGGAAATCTGTTCCTGTGAGAGCTGAAGTGCACCTTTTGTAAGGGGCAATTTCAGTGATTTGCTCCCATTCTGTCCAGGTTAAATCTTTTAGTACAGCAGTAGGAATCGGTACTCTAGCTCCATAACTGCCTTACTTGCTGGCACAATAATTATCTTTTTTATTTATGCATCGGATCTTTAAAGAAAACTATCTGGAGCTCTAATTCTAGAGCTGGGCATGCCCCTTTTTAATATTAATATGATCTCATAGTGCTAGAATGAAAGGAATAGAGATTTATTTCTCCACCCTGTAGGGAAACTGGTTGAAACAATTTGCACATCACAGAAGGCGCTTGCTGGCAGATCTGGGCTGGGACTCCAGCCTGACGCCGTCTGATCCCGCGTGGCTCTGCTGCTGCCCCAGTGCTGAGCCATCCAGAGCCTGCACCCCTCTCCTCCTCCTCCTCGTCCACCCCAGAAACTGCAGTTCAGTTGGCACAGATTTTTTCACTGGGTTTTCCCTCTACTGGGAGAAATCACTGATCTTGGCAAGCAAGCTCAGTGGGCACTGGCAAACAGTAACCACCATGGCCATTGCTGTCAATGCTTAAAAAAGAGGAAGCCAAAAAATTCTTAAATATACTCAAATATTCTTGCTTCCGTTAGAAGGGGACGGGGAGGTTACACAATCGCTTCCATCTTCTGGGGAGGAAAAGGCTGAATTTGGTACTTCCCTTGTCAGAACTTCTCATCTTGGCAGGCGCTCTTAAAAACCATGAAGGCTCTGCCTTGTGACTCTGCAGATGGCAGGGCAGCACCCTGGACCTGTATAGCTGGGAGGCAGGGCTGGATCCAGCCCGAGGGCTGGCAGATAAGGAGCAGAAGCAGGCAGTCTTCAAGGAGCAGCAGGGAGCATAACCCTGTGCATCTCAGCTTGGCAGGGAGCTGATTAATACCATTACCTCTTGCTGTGCAGGTGTCAGCTGGTGTGAGAGCAGGAGGTGTGTCTGTGCAAGGCAGAATGGTTTCACCAGGGCACGGCTGGAGATGCAGTCCCACCTTTGGGCCCCAGCCTGGGTCACATTCCCCTGGCCTGAGGGGCTTCAGGTCCCAGCACTCCCCGCTGCCCTCGGCTCCTGCCAGCACGGCAGGGGGAGCCCTTCGCGAGGCTGGCATTCCTAGTGACATTGAATGTATTGTGTGAAGGCTGATGTAACCTGCACCATCAGCACCTTTCCCAGGTACCTGTACGTAAGATGGGCCCTTTCCATGCGGAGGTGCAGGGCTTTGATGTGGCCGTGTTCAGCCAGGCTGAACCAAACCCAGATTCAGCAGGTTCAATTAGCTGTAGGTAGAGCAAAGCTCAGAGGGCTAAGGGGAGCCATTTCATTTCATTTCTGTTTCATTTCAATTTCATTTCTTGTCTGCTTAAATGGCAGCTCAGGCAGCACACGTTTTTAAATGCTTAGGTGAAGGATCCAAAGAACTTACACTAGCAGTGGAAACTTCTCCTGACTAAACAGAATGTATCTTCCCTGAGTAGTAGAAGTGTGAACTGGCAAAGCATGATTTCCACAAAAATAAATGTGCCTTGGTATTCTAAGAGGGAAGCCCTAAAGTTCACGTTTCTATTTATTTTCATGGCAACGGAAACCACATCATGGACCAGCCCCCAGCCTGGTGGTGGATCTGGGCTTTGGGGGATTGTTCTTGTATTACAGTCACCAGTGTAAGTTCTGGAGTTACCACTGAGATAGGAGGATTAATTAAATATACCATTATGGCAATTGTGTAGAATTTTCTGACTGCCCCCTGTACAACTTGCATGATTCTAATTTTCTAACACCATGGGATAGTGATGAAGTGAGGAAAATCCATGGGGAGAAGCAGGGTGTGTGTGGAGGAGCTCTGCAGTAGCAAAACCTCTGCGTGGAGCACAGGAAAGGCTGGAAGTAAATAAATGAACCCTGAGCTCAGGGCTTTGACATGTTTTGAAGCTTGAGGAACCCAGGTTTTGCTTTCACTGAGTCTTCAGAGACCTAAACAGCTTTGTCACTACATGTACACATTGTTAAATTATTAAGTCTGTAACTAGAAATGGCCTCAGTAAGTTTTCAAGAAGCCTGACAACTATTGTTCTCATAAATAGCAAATGCCCTATTTTAATTATTTTTTTGTTAATAGAAGGCAGACTCTTAGAAATCCCTATAAATTCAGCTACGTTTGAGCCCTTTGGAAGAGGGGCTCAAGTTTCTGTATCCTTGAATTTCAGACCCATGTGAACAGTAGACAGCAGGCAGATGGTTAATTCAGCATTAAAAGTACGGGAAAGCAGTCAGGGAATAGCCCAGCTTTGCCTTTTGGAGGCAGGTGGAAGATTCCATTATCTTTAAGTAGCTTTTTTGGACACGACGTGTTTGCTTTATTGCAGATTTAGAAGTCAGGGAACAAAGGGAAATAAATACTCGTGGGATTTGTTTGATGAGGAATTATTGAAGTGGTCAGCTGAAGCTAATGGTGTTGACTTCTCCTTCAGGAGGCAGTAAACTAAACAGGCTCCAGTACCTGCGCTGTGTGGTGTGTGAGTGTGAAGAGTAAAAGCAGCGCCCAGCCAAAGTAGAGTAGCCACGATGGAAATCTTCTAAAGTGAGTTTAAAATAAAAAGTAACACTAATTAGATTTTATCAATTTTTTTTTGACAGCTGTAAAAAAAGTACAGAAGAAAGTATTTCTCACTCTCAGGTTTTGTTAGCGTTCAGTGTATTCATACCGCAGCAATCTGTATATAAAATACCTGTTTATTATTACAAACAAATACAGATGCAAAGGCCTAGCCTTGCAGCAGGTTGGTTTAACTATTTTTCAATGAACTTGTTACACAGTTAATTGTTCCTTCAGCTTTGCAGTAGGCCCTTAGCAGAACAGTTTTGCAGCTTCATCAGAACATGGTAAAACCAGAGCAGACCCTGAGCCAGCCAGCCCCTGCCCATAGGTGGGAGGGGCAGCATTAGTTCAGCATTCAAAGCCATCATGTTGAATACTTTCAGAGTTTATTTTATGCTTTACAAAGCACTTTTTGCCCATTAGAAATCAGCATCATCTATGGATCCCTTCCCATCCAGGTCAGCACTTTGGATCTTGCCTAGCTACTTAGATTTGGTTCCTATCTGGGGGCAGCTCATTGGCCCATGCAGGGTAAACTCGTTGCACAGGTGCAGCCACAGCACCCTCTCAGAGCACCGAGGGACATTGGCCAAGAGGCAGTGAGAACAAGGGACATGCTGCTTTCAGACCTCCTCGGTGCCACCGGGAGGGAGCCAGAGGGGAACGTGTCATCATCTAACAAAAACTGACTCCACCAAAGGCAGGGGCAGGGCCTGGAAACCTCCAGCAGCACCTGCCCCTGCTTTTGCACAACTGACTGGCCGGGAGCGCCTCCAAGCTCAATAATCTCCACGCTCTTTTATGTTTTCATACAAAAAATTTAATAAATATTACTTTTCAAGATTTATTGCCAGGAACAACACATCAAAGATGCATTTTCATATAACACTAATATCACAATACAAGGTATCTTCATGATCTCAATGGTTAACCACTGAGATGACTATGTTTATATGCCTTTTGATCTTAAACATCGTAATAGCACTTTGATTTCCTCACTTGTTAAGGCGGGCAGTGTAATCTATGGCAAACCTACACAGTGATCTTACTGGACATTCTACTGTTCAAGTATTCAACAACTAGCTTATTAGAATACTCCCTAAATGCAGTAGATTACAAAAAAAGTCAAATCTACAAGTGGTTCAGTATTACATATTCATGGTGAGAAAAAAATAATTAGAATTTACAAAATAAGATTGCTGTGTTTCCAACTTCACACGCTAATTTGATATTTTTAATTACATGCAACCACTCACATTTCATCTACATAAAGTAATAGCTCAGTTTTGTTCCCTTAAACTGCTTCTTAGCAGATTTATCTGCCTGTCACTCGGTTTTCAAGTCTAAAGCAGCAAAAAAAAATTTCTAGTCTAAAATTCTCTCTAAACTGCCTCAGTCAGTACTTACAAATAGTCTTAAAGTGATACTATGGAAGGTGTTTCAAACGTTTGACATTGTACAAAAACCAGCATCAAGGCATGAAAGCCCATCCTATTAAAAATAAACTATTTTAGAACACCTTAGTTTTGGCATATAGGCAACATGTAACAAGAAAATAAATTCAAAATAGAGAAGCCACGAGCTTACAATGCTATCAAAAACCTTCAACTCTAAACACATACATATAAATAAAAAGGAATGATATTTTAAGGCTCTTGATTATTAAGTTAATAAATCAAATATACACAGTGATTAATAAAAAAAGAATTATTTACATATCTATACAAACTTCTATTTTTGACACATTTTCCTCTTTAAATTCTTCATTTACCAGCAACTGCTGACAAGTTCCCCCCACCCGCCCCCAACAAAAATACAATAAAAAAATAAATAATAAACTTATTTTTGATAGTTGCTGTGGTTCCGAGCTGCAAAGGCACTTTCAAATACAGAACTAGTTGTACGTCACCATAAAACCAATATACAAAAAACTCAAATTCAATAAATATAAATAAAATGTATTATTCTAAAGAAACTGTATAAATCGGAACTTCTGGCAGAAAAAAAAAAGAACACTAAGGAAGAGTAATAAGGCTATGTAATACCTTATGGAACGTTTCTGTGATGGATCAGCTGCAGCTGAATTTACAGGAGGGCACTTTTGACTAGTTTTGCATAGATGTGAAATGCAGCACTTGGTATTCCAGCCAACCACAGCAACTATCATTGCCAGTGTAAGCCAGCTTGTCCAAACTTAAATTAACACAGGGATTCTAAGTAAATAATAGCCTTAGACTCAAATATTACACAACAGTTTAAGAACTACAAGCTCTTGAGTGCCTTTATATTGATACTCAAAGGCCCTGCATGGCAGCACCCCACCGTCTGCTATACGATGTACTCCATCCGATTTAGGCTTTGTGCACTTTCCAAGTCTCTGTTGTCCTGTTTATTTGTCCAGTTTGGGTGTTTTGTAGGGGTGCTGTTGGGGGGCTTTTCATCTCTGTCTACCAAAGTGTAGGCTGGCTGCTTGGCAAATCGGGCCTTCTGCTGGTGCTTGTCCATGTCATCCTCCTCCACCTCGGAGTTGTGTGTCCTTATTTTGGCGATTTTAGAGTTTTTGTTTTCGTAGTCTTTAATGGGGACAGTATTTGTTCCGTGTTTCTCAATGGGATTTTTGATCTGGTTCAGCTGCTCCCTGACGTTGTTGGTGGTGTTGTCGTCAGAGGCCGTGTGGGTGTGGCTGCTCTGCTTCCGGCGCTTTCGGATGCACCAGTAAAACACGGTGACCAGGCAACAGATCCAGGCTACTGTCAGCACCGAGCTCAGCAAGGGCACCAGGAAATCTGCAAGAGACAGGAGACAGTTAGTCCTGCTGCAGACCACGGGGGACACTTTGGGATGTCTCACAGAAAACAAATCTCGGTTCTTACGCCTTGTTACTTCCCGCATTTCTCCGTGAGGAGCATGGAAGCCCTTTTTCCAGGCTTAGCAAACTTCTGGCAAGTTTTTTAGGGTTTTTAGCAATGAAAAGACCTTGTGTGCAAAGCCTCCCCGTTGTTCCTGATGAACAGGGAGTTTCTGGGAGTGTCCGAAGGGAGGACAGGCTCTGCCCTTGGCAGGGGCCCTGCAGGAGCTGGGGCCAAGGAGCAGCTCACCTGTTTTGCTCTTGGCCGGCCGCCGCTGCACCCTGACCTCGGCGACAGCCGCGATCAGCGTGTTGTTCCCGTCGCGCTTACTGACGAGGTCGATGATCTTATCTGTGATGTCTTTGATGGGGTTTTCATCCTCCCCAATGTCCTCTGCAGACTGCAGGAGGAGGCACACAGTTAACACCAAGCAACACATCAGATGCACGGGGGAACCTGCTATTTATAAACCTTCACAGGCAGTGAAGGCTCTTGCTCCTGTTCATCTATAACAAACAGAATCAAAGCAAAATGGCCTGCTGTGGGCAGAAACTAACGACTCTGAATACTTCTCCTCATCCTTAAAAATACCAAAAACCCCCCTAAATCAAGAGTGTGACAGAGAAATGTTTTACTCCTCCTATAACAAGTGCCTGCAGATGGCAGCTTTCAGGTACACACATGTAACCAGAATTCCTTTCCTGTTCTTAAAGGGTATCAGGACGGAAACTAAACCACAAGAAGTGCTGACAAAGCCAGGAATTAATATTTTTATGAAATCCACGTGTTACACACATATCCAAGCAATTAACTACTAAGACATTTTAAAGTATTCCAGGAATACTTACAATAGCAACATGGATTTCATTATTTGCCAAGTGGGAAGGCTCACAGGTAATATAGATGGAATATTCAACAGAAACATTCTTCAGAATATTCAGATTCCTCAATTCACTGCAAACATGCTCTGTGGTAAGGCCCTGGAGGATACAAAAAGGATGTTGGCTTTTTCTAAATACATATGCACACGAGCACACAGATACAAGATTTGTTTGGGTTTTGGGTTTTTTTTGCCCTCAAGTAAGAGTTCTCAGGGGAAAAGGAGGTGGAATTCCCTCCAACCTAGCTTTTTTTTCTTCTCTAGTCACAAAAGCATTTAGGCTGCAAGGCTATATTTTAATCCTTCTCTGCTTTTTGTTTTCTTTGCTAATGAGGCAGAGTCAGCTTTTGCTGCAGTTTTCCCTATGGAAAACATCACTCCATGCTCTGGAAATGGGTCTGTGTGTGCCACAGCCCAGCGAGCTGCTGTTACTCACCGGGGCCATCATTTCTTTGTTAAAGGTGAAGGTGATGTTGGCACAGTTGTCCTGGTAGTACGAGTCTGAGTTGCACTTGGTCCTCACAGGCTGCTGGTTGGAGGGCCAGCACTCCCCCATGGCGGCACACGGGCGGGTGAAGCAGTGATCATCCCGCACAGGGACACAGGCATGGCCAGCAGGGCACTCGCCAGGGCCCTTGCCGTGCAGCACACAGGGCCGAGGGCCACACCAAACCTAGGGAGGATGCATACTGTGAGAATCCACTGGCCAGGGCACAGAGGCTGCTGTAAGCCAAACCACAGCACAGCTGTACCTTAGAACAGGTGACTTTTCCATTCAGACACTGACAGGTATTGCAGTCGTCATCCCACTTAGTCCCATCTGGAATGACTTGAGCACTGGTAATGCAAGGCCTTCCTGTAACTGAGGAGAGATTGAACAGAATTATAAGCTAAAAATAGGAAACAAATGCCTTTTCAAAGTTTATCTCAACTTGCCACTCAGTTGCTTCTTCAATAAGGATACTTGCTTTAAAAAACAACAGATAGTGTGCCCCAAAACCAACCCCATACAACCACAAACCCACCAATGTGCAATTACACAGTTCTTGCTACAAGTGCTAGGCTCAGCTCTGGCATCTGGAATACCTTCTTGGCATGCTGGACCACTGCGACCCGGGGGGCAAATGCAACGGTACCCGTTAATTTCATCCACACACGTGGCTCCAAAGGCACAGGGCGAGGACTGGCATTCGTTGATGTCTGTGATGAGAAGGAGAGGAAACAGAACAGTAACTCCATAGTATGCTTTTGTTTTGTCAGGAAAAAAGCAAACATGGGATAGAATCGCCTACTGGAGCTTTATGTTCATTTTCTAGTGTCTACTGGGACATGGATTCCTGCTTGCAGCACCAATATAACCTCAGAAAAGTCCTTTGACGTTTCTGCTGTGTGGCACTAACAAAGATCAAAACCTGACCCCTGTGGCTACTCGAGCTTTCCAGGGCAAGGACACATTCCTTCCTACAAAGACACACTTCCTCTCCTCTCCTCTGATGTGCTCCAGTTTTGTCCCCCACTAGATTCTTCAACTGATGGCAATGTTAAACCCTTCCTGGCTCTATTGCTGCTGTGAGACTTCTATTCCATGGCTGTTATTAAAAAAAGTGTCCTCCTACCTGTAATTATTATTAAATTACAGGGAAGCGCATACATCACCTCAGGGCTTGGAGGTGGATTATTAATTGACAAGGTTTTTGGCTGGCACACTTTCATCTCAAGCAGAAGTCTGGGCCACACAAACACAAGGGAAGGCTGTCCCAAAGGGCATTTTGCCCACTCGGCTGAACCAAGAGGTTTCAGCTCCAGCTGAAAGACATTAAATTTCTTTCATTTTCAGTGTCATTCCTGCCTTCTCCAAATCTGCTACAGCTCCAGGTATGGATAGAGATGACACAAGACACCTATCACTCATGTGATCTACTACTTAACTCAATTAAGATGATTGTCTTGCAACAAGATTCAAGAGAGACAAGAAGTGAGGCAGAGAGCCATGGGAACACTCACTGATCCTGCAGTCGGGCCCGGCGAAGCCTGGAGCACACTCACAGCGGTACCAGTTCTCTCCATCCACACAAGTGCCACTGTTGTAACTGTGGACAATTAGCACAGACATTAAAAACTGCCACAGATAAAAGGAACCCAGAATTCTAAAGCAACAAAAAGAGCAAAGGATAAACATAACAAACTTACCAAGGATGGGGACTGCAGTCATTTGTGTCTGCAAAGCAAAGACAGACAGCATTAAACATTGTAGGCTTTGGCTAATATGGCTCTACTGGCAGTAAAGAATGATCAAACTTCCCCTAATGCCCAAGTTATACTTAGCTCAACTTTTACAAAAACATGCTGAAATTCTCTACTAAATTGATTCCAGGCTTGTAGCACAAAATTTGTTAACTACATTGTGGAACACATGTATGCAGGAAGAGATCCTTGTAAAGAATCTAACAGGGGGGGAAAAAAAGTGGAAGCAGACAAAGCAGACAGAGCTGCTCGTAGAAAAAGAATGCAGGAGAAAACAAGACAACATCTGTCTCCACTTAGCTCATTTGCAACTTTCTCATGCCCAGGTCAAGGCTGTATCACATAAAGTCATTAAAAACAAAGATTCAGGTGATGCTAAAGCCTACATCAAACAAGCTTTCCCTTCTGGATTCAATCTTGACTCCAAGGGCGACAGGATGAGCTCATGTTCTCATCATGCAACACTCTGGAAGAGTTCAAGCAGAGCTGACTTACTCTGGGTGCACGTGGGTCCTTCCCAGCCCTCCTTGCAGACACAAGTGAAGGAGTCCCCGCTGACCACACAGGTACCACCGTTGTGACAGGGGTTTGGCAGGCAGCTGCTGTTCCTCGCTGTAACACAAACAACATTTGCCGCTCAGTTGTTAGAAAGCCCTCAAGCCTGAGCCAAGAGGAACAGCTGAGGTCAGAGCTGCAGCGCTGCATCTGCTTCCTGGCGATTGTGCAGGCTATTTACCTATGTTACAAGTGGCTCCTTCCCATCCTGCAGGACACATGCACTTGAAAGTGTCCCCCTCGTCGTAGCACGTCCCCCCGTTGTTGCACGTCGCCTCATCGCACTGGCTGTCACCTGTGGAAAACCCAAACTGTCCTTAATGCTGGTGCTCCCTTAGGGCAATGAGTTCAAGCAGCCTATCAGAACACGTCTGGTATGTTTTGGAAATGCTGAACTTACGGGAGTGGCAAGTTTTTCCTTTCCACCCATTTTTACATTCACAGAAGAAGTCGTTGACCAAGTCTCGGCAAGTTCCTCCATTGTGGCAAGGGTTTTTACTGCAGTCATTAATATCTGGATATGTTAAGGAGAGAAAACAGGCTCAGTAGTGTTTACAGAACTGACAAACACAATGCTTGAAAGGAGCATAACCTACCCCTAATTTTGGCCTGTGTTTCAATTGTGGATTAAATGCCTAAGTCAGTATTTTAAAGTTTTAAGCACTGTCACATAGATGAAGAGTGTTTCACCCCAGTCCTCCAGTTTGTTTTCATTTTGTTTGTAATCTTGTTTCAGTGAAAAAGCCTATTACATAAACTACCCTGTTAGTCAGGGGAAAGGAGCAGAGCACTCAACTCCTCTCCTGTTCCTGAGATTGACAAAATGCAAGTATGATACACAGACAGGCCAAAAGTGGCATCTACTAATGCCAAGGGTTTCTTCCTGGAAGTTATCCAAAGGATAGAACAGGAAACTCAACAGTGAGAGAGCCAGGCCCTAATCCCAGTCCAGCTTTGTAACTTGGGCTTAGTTCCAATACAAAAGACTGGGACTTGGTGGGAGGACCTAGTCCTCTGTGGCCTTTGAAGCGGAGTTTATTGACATAGGTCACTGTCATCTTGACAGTACCAGCCATTCCTTCCCAATGTTTTCCCAAGAGATCCTGCTGTGTGCTGAAGCATAGATAACTTACTTGTTTCACAATATGTTCCTTCCCATCCATCGCTACAAATGCATTTGTAGGAGTTGATGCCATCAATGCAAGTGCCACCATTTTTACAGGGGTTGCTTTCACAGTCATTGATATCTGCAACAATTGGGAAGAAAGAAGAGGATTAAAAAAAGAGGGGAAAAAAAGGTCAAACTAGAAGTACAGTTACTAGGAGTCATTATCTTACTGCAGACTGTTTGGTACTACTTCCATTTCTAATAATACCCTTTGGAAAGGAAGGGTAATAAGCAAGATGACAAATGAGTAAAAAACTGCACAAGGTGATGAACCTGTCACTATTAAAAACAAAAAATTCAGGAGTCCTTAAGATCTATGTTAAACCCCACTACTAACTCCCTCAGACCTTGTATACATAAGGTTTTCAACAACATACAATTCAAGGCCAGAGGGGTCATGGCTGTGAACCTTCCCCAAGGCCTAGCAAATTCCACTCTGCCTCGCCCAAGAGGGACATGAAAACTTACAGCAGTTCCAAGGTTCACTGAGTTACAATGAAGAAAAGGGGTCTGGGAGGGAAGGATGGAATCTTTTCCCAGTAAGAGTGGGGGACAGTAAAACAGATTCTCTTTTTTGCTCTTACTCTCATGACAGTAGGTGCCGGTGAATCCTTTGTTGCATTCACAGGTGAATTTTCCACCTGCCTGGCTCTTGCACTTCCCGTGAGGACCACAAACGTTGGAAGAGATGTAGCGAACCCCTTCGGGTGTGCTGTTGGAAGCCACTGCCACAGTGCAGCTGTCAATTACTGCAGGAAAGCAGAGACCAGCATGAGAATTACCCATGCAACCCGATTCCTCAAGAGCAACATTTTCACTTCCAGCCACGGATGTTAAGAAGACACTTGTGCCATTGAGTCATTTAGGTTGGAAAAGACCTTTAAGATCATTGAGTGAAACCATAAACATATGACTACAAATATGTTTGCTGCTTTAAAATAACATCTGCCAACTGTGCATAAAATAATCACAGCATCTTATCTGATGATTGCTGGAACTCATCCACAGCCTGGAATAAATGCATCAGGCTATTTGCTACCTGTGCTTTCTGTCCACATGGACATAATGCTGTCTTTAATAGCTGATACTTAGAAATATCACTCATTTTTTCACACAGAGAGAGGCCTAAGGCAGAAGGCAAAATTCAGCCTCTCTATAGCAGAGCTACTCCAGGGACTCCCCTGCTGGAGCTGTGTTAGGGCCCCAGCAAGGGCAGGGCGGGAACCATTGGCAGCCACGGCCCTTCACCCCCAAAGCAACACGAACCTTCACACGGAGTGGTGCGGCAGTGATCCTTCAGGTGGGAGCAGTTCTTCCCTTCGTAATCCTCAGGGCAGTTACAGAAATAGTCCATGGCAAGATTGAAGCACTGGGCGCCGTTCTGGCACGGATTTGGCTCGCAATAATCTATGTCCAGCTGTAAGTAGTGCACAGAGAGGGAAGGGAAATGGGAAAGGGGGGGAAAGGGAGTGAGGGAAAGCTGAGTGAAAGAGGTTTATCATGGCTTTCCCTCACCACGACAGGCTGACATTGTGGAATCTGACCTTTTTATCTGCTGCCTCAAAGAATCATTCATAGCACACAGAGTTCAGTCCCGCTCGCCACTATTCCGGCAGACAACTCTCGATATTAAACTGCCAAAGTTAATAGTGAGAGCTCCACAAAGCCTGACGTGCAAACGCTGCAGTCTGCTTAACAAAGAGAATCCTCCACAGCCTGTCAGGGGTTTGTTGGTTTCTTCCCCCACCCCAATATATATTAATCAAGCAGTTTCTTGGCAGACTGACAGCGATATCAAGTACAACTTTATACTATGCTTCACTGGATGCGAGGCATTCCATGCTCAGATCCGGAGCGTTGGAACAAACGGCACTGGCTGAGGGCCTGCCTTTCACCCGGCCTTCTTACCTGACAGAGGTTTCCTGAGAAACCAGCGGGACACAGACATTGGAATCCATTGATTTCATCCTGGCAGTGACCCCCATTCATGCAAGGGTTACTTGCACATTCATTGATGTCTTTCTCACAGTGATCTCCTGCATAGCCAGGTGAACAGATACACCGATAACCATTAACCAAGTCCTGGGAAAGAACAAAAAAAAGTTTCAGAGTTAATGTTGTTCCTCCCTTGATATATTCTTATTAAGAAAAATAATTTTTTAAAAGTTAAAAAAAAATCATCTCAATGTCCAAAATATTTAGAGGGGAAAAAAACAAACACACACACACAGACCACCCAGTCCCAGTTTACATTCTGAATTTCCAGGCAGGATACATTAATCCACAGGTTGAAGGGAAGTTCCTATATTTCCAGTAGGTAGTTTGCACAACCACCAGCTCATTCACTGGTGACACTGGCAGTGAAAATGAGTCATTTACTGAAGTTATGAAGTTTTTTTCCCTTACTGTTCTACAGACATATCTCAACATGTTATAGCATGACATAGGCCCTCCCCCAAGGGGACATGACCATTTGTACCAGCTATTTGCTATTTTCCAAACTTTTTGTGCTTAGGCTCAAATGTTTTAGATACCGTTGCAAACCTTGGGGAAACCAAGGTAAAACAAGAACAGCTTACCCGACAGGATCCTCCATTCTGACATTGTCCACGACAGTCGTTAATATCTGCAATAAAATTAGCACGGTTAGAAGGCAAAAATATATTTACACTAGATAGAGAGTTCAGGTCTCCCTAAAACTGCAGCTAGATAAACTTTTTGTCAAGTTTCCTGCATGCCTTCCTTGAGATAAGGTTATTATAATGGGTGGGAAACCTTTCGCGATTCTTCTAGGAGAGGCAGTAAAACTTCACATCATTGTTTTAGTCCCTTTATCAGAATATAGCTATGGTACAGGCTAATGACTTTGATAAAATTGTGTATTTTCATTCGGCACCAACTACTCCCTTTCTAAAAACATCAACTGCTGGGGCTCTGCCCAGTGTTTAAATTGAGCTCAGAACTCAGGGGCACATATGCCCAAAGAGCTGTCTGTTAATAAACCCAAGGGTATGGACACTTACTTATATCACAGTTGTGGCCAGACCAGCCAGTAATGCAGTCACAGTAGTAGCTGCCAATCAGGTTCCTGCAGGAGTTGGCATTAACACAGGGCTTGCCCTCACATTCATTGGCATCTGGAAAACCAAGGGGAACATTCAGGGGGGAAGGGAGAAGCCCACACCCCAGCAATAACCAGCAGTTCCTCCGGAGCTAAGAGGAACTTGCAGCATACAGCCGGGATTAGCGTGACTTGAAGGAACAAAAGTCAATCATCATCAGCCTCTGAAGGCTCTTTCAGTTTCTCTGCAATTAGAACATACAGGCTACGCTAATTATTTCACAATTACCCAGCCACTCATTAAGAGCAACTTGCCCCCACACACGCATCTCAGCCGAGCATTCTGAAGGAGGAATGCTGCAGCCTGGTCACTGGGATGAGTGTGTTGTGTAAAGAATGCAGCCAGCTCACTCTCCGTGAGATCATCCCCATTTTGGAACCCAGCTGGGAGCTCCTGGGTCTGGAGGAGTTGATATGGTTGAGGAGATACAGCAACTTTCTCACAGGGCTAAGGGGGAGAAGCACATGTGGGGGCGGGACCGGGAGGCACAACATGCAGCCTCCCCACTTCAGGGCAGTTCTGGTTTGAAGGATGTCTCTGTTAACTATTTCCTTCAAGTGCCAGTATGCAGAAGTAAGGTGATAGAAGCCACACTGCTCTTGGACACTGACCTAGACCTCAGTCCTGCAAACAGACACTGAATGTCTTCAATGTGCCAAAATACTTCCACAGGCTTCAGAAACATGACCATGAGTAATGCAGGACTATGATCCCTTTTGTATTTATCTTTTCCAGCTCTGGAATAACACTGGATGAAGAGAAAGCAGTTCTTACCTAGCTGGCACGTTTTGCCAGTCCACTGAGGTGGGCAGATACACTTAAATCCATCAACTAGATCTTGGCAAGTTCCTCCATGACCACAGGGATTTGGAGAACAATCATCAATATCTGTAATGCAGAATAAGGAGAGGCTTAGCTCCACTGCCAGAGTGGCAATGGCAATAACTGACAAGTCTGACAAATGGTTGCTGCTACTCAGGTTTTCCCTGAGGAACAGAAGAACAACATGACTTCTACTTGGAATTTACAGGTTATCTTTGATTTCAGCAAAAGCCTCACTTAAAGAGAGGAGTAATGTGAAAAGGGGGTTCAAAGCACTGGGGGAAAAGTTTACCCCTGTGGCCTTTTGCAAATGGAAGTCCTATTTGAATCCAGCAAGACCCTCAGAGCAGCATTTTTAACAGCCTGCCAGAATGCTACAAGAATTCAGCATTCCACTTCTTTCAGGAGGCTTTGGGCTATTCCTTCCCCTGTACTTGACAAAACCCCTGGTACAAGCAAAGGGGAAGAGAGTGCACAGGGGTGTAAATGGTTGCTGGAAGCAATGCTCAGGCTGGGAAAGGTTAAGTAGTCTGCCTGGTAAGGTTATGAGGGATTAGAAAGACTGATCAAAACCAGCAAACTGGCACATTTGGAATGAACACTGAAAAGGACTCACTGTCAGTGCAGGTTGGTCCAGCCCAGCCAGGAGCACACACACATTCAAATCCCGTGGATGTCTCGAGGCAGCTTCCCCCGTTGTGACAAGGGTCGGAGAGGCAGGCGTGCTCCGCTGCACAGGGACAGAAGGACATCAGGCAGAGGCTACAGCAATGCCACCAAGCCAGCCCTGCTCCTGCAAGAGCCAGGAATTTCCTGGCTGGCAGAAAGTCTCGCTCCAGCTAAGCTCACCAGCACACTGACTGGCACCTGCTGGGGCCACGGCCACACAGTGACCTCCCCAGTGAGCAGAAGGCTGATGTCCAGAGGCACCACACAGTCATGACAAAGCATTAGAACAGGAAAGGCTGCATCTTTGTACCCAGCCCTGGCTGGGTACGCTACAAATTGAGTTTTCCTCCATCTCATACAGTGCATCCAAAACCAGGCACCAAAAGCTGGCAAGAATTAACTGTGAGGTGGCACTTAATCTCAGCAGCTCCATCCAACACTTACCAATTTCACAGTTCTGTCCTGAGTAGCCCTCAGGGCAGGAACATTGGTATTTGTCAGGGCCGGTGTTGCTGCAGGTACCACCATTCAGGCAGGGCGGGTGGGTTCCACAGTAGTTCAGATCTGCAGGAGGGGAGGATGTTAAAGCCAGGCTGGAAGGCTACAGGAACATCCCCACGTGCTTTGTTCTGCTCTCCCAGAGCCTTTACAGAACGCATGCCCACAGAGGAGCGGGACAGGACGGGGACAGGCTAAGGACAGAGGCACACCTGAACAGCAGTGGGACAAGGGCAGGAGCTGAGGGCCAGCACGCTGCCAGCACGTTTCAGCAGCTCACTGAGCCCCGTGTGCACAGTCTGCCAGCGCTGACATCCCAGTGTGACACGGCCCTCTGGCATTAGCATACCTTTGTCACAGAGCTGACCACCCCAGTTGGTTTCACAGAGGCACTGCCATGGTTCAATGCAAGTGCCATGGACACATCCCGGGTGTGGAATGCACTTATCACAGTACTGGCCTTGCCATCCATACTGACACCTTCAGTAAAAGAGCAAAAAAAAAAAGGGAAAAAAATCAGAACAGGGAAACAAACCCAAACCCATCATAACTGCTGTATGTAGATACGAGTGTGCAACTCCAAAGCTTGAAGAAAGGCTGGGAAGTGGGGGAGAAGGGCAGGATGAGGGGAGGGGAGAAGCTATTCAAGGATTGTTTGATGGTTTCTTGTAAACAAACATTTTGGTAGTTTTGCCAAGGTCTCTGTAGCCGGCCTCCTGACAAAAGAATAACTGTTCTGAGAAAACCAGCATGAGGCCATTCAGCACAATAACACTCTTTTGGAGCCTCATATAGATGTGGCAGAGAGGGTGGGTGTGCACTACAAATCAATCTCTGGATTTTGACAGGGTGCTTTATAAATTGAGGGGGGAAGAAAAAGTCAGTGGAAACAATAGTAATCCAGAGATCCTCATGAATACAAGGTTCCAGGCGTTTCAGCCACGCTGGGTTTGCAGGAAGACAAACAAAACCATAACCAGCAATCTGAGCCCTTGGCAAGGCAGTAGCAAAACACGAGGAGTTCCCTGCTCTACCAGAAGGCACCCTTATTCTGAATGGAGAGACACACACAGGGCCAGTATGTGGACTGGGCCACAGTCAGGCATGAAGACAGCACGGCAGGGAAAACACGTGCTCAGAGATCAGCTGTCAGTGTGCTTCTGAGTTTGGTTTGTGCTAATAACCTCTTTGCAGGGAACAACTAAATCATGTCCAGTTCTGAGAAACACTGATGTCTGGAGAATTTACTACTATTTGAATTCTTTACTGTCGCCATCGATGAGCTACCTGAATTCTCTACTTAAAAGGAAGACGTTCTTTTAAAGTAAAGCCCCCTTAAGGGAAAGCTTATTTTGGATTTCATTTAGTTCTCGCTAGCAAGACATACCAAGGATCCTTCAGATTAAAGTGAATCTATAGATAGGAACAAGCAAAACAAGTTGAAAATTAAAAGCAAGGGCTTTTTGAGGTACTGTATTTCATTAACAGGTCCTGAGAGTAATTGATCAGCAGCAATTATGCACTAAGCTGTCACTAAATTATGAAAACAAACCTCAGCCCTACAGAAGTCAGCTAAGCTTTCTATTTGTAAAACCCCCCACCATTCTTCTCCTGGCAATTTCTTCTCATGGGAAAAAGCCAGAAGGATCTATCCAATGGATAATCACACACAGCCAGTGGTAAGTCCAACTTCCCTTCTAAAAATCTCAGGTGACAAACTGCATCCTAATTAACTTTTCTTCTTTAATAGCTATCACAATAGCAGCCTTTTCAAAGTCAATGGGAAATTCTTATTAGTGTGTGTGTTAAAAAAAGCCAGTCAGTGCAAAGAACATGAAAAAAACCCAGATAAGGCAAAACAACCTCCGTCAAGTACCTCTTGGAAAACCCTTCTGTACAGGGCATATACCGAGAATGCACAAAGATCAAAATTTAGGACCAGACCTTTTTAATTTGTGTTGCATACAAAGCAACTTGCCTGAGAGCTTGCACACAAGCCAAACTGAGGGACCTCACCTGCAAAAGCAAGTGTCCAAATTGAGGCTTGATTTTACTCCCATCAAATCAAAGTGGTGGTGGGTTTTGTTTTCTTTAGAACAAGTGTGAAGAAAGCAAAATAATTTAAAAACCCCACACCACACAGGAAAAAAAAATCACGAGCTTTAGAGCCAAAGTTACTACTTCAAACATCAGCTTCAAAACATAACAAACAAAATTGGATAAGGCTATGGGCATTTAGGGGAAACAAAAAAGCGGCATATCAATTCCAGAGAAAGATTCACAGTACTAACTCATGTTTAATAATATGGATGCAGCAGTTTCTCATGAGAAATTTAAAGCTAACTTTCCTTGTATAGTGATTCATGAGTAAAAAATGGTTTAGTTGGCCGGCCTGCATTGAAGAAAGTGACTGGCAGCAAAAGGGAAAAGGATATTTTAAGAACGTTTGCAAGTTGTCTGTTGTACCAGAACACAGAGCAGTTTCTGCTCGGATGTTATTTTTAAACCCTGTTGCATTTGTAGCATACAGGCTATATGACTCATCAAAACTTAAAAGAAAATAAAATCTTGTTTCTGTGTTCACTTTAAAGATAGTGGTCTAACTTGGCAAGCAGAAGTTATCTGAAAGCACCAGAAGGACAGCATTGTTTCAAGACTATGCAAATCAAGTGTGGGAAAGTTGCACCTTAAGTAAATAAGAGCACTAGTGCATGTCTGGGCAGTGAGTGGGAGGCAACAGACTTAGAAAGAGAAAGGGAAGAAAAAAAATCTGGAAACAAAGCCTGTTGTTCTGACTAGGAGACAGCAACCCCTACAAGGCATGTTTATTCTGATGACAGCAGCACAAATCACTGGTAGCCCTGACTGATATGCTCCTCTCACCATCTGGTCCCCCCACACTTCCTACTACTTGTTAGACTTTTTTTTAATTAAAAAAAGATTTAGATTTGGTGCTCTGGGGGTTAACCAGCTTATATCAGTACTGCTGAACATTAAAATCACAGGACAAGTGACAACAGTTCGTTCCCTGGCTGGACTTTCACTTTGCCACAGCTCTGTGAGGATGAGAGGTTACTTCCCACCTCACTTTCAGATGGTTCCTTGGTAATTTTTTTGTTTTGTTTTGGTTTTGAAGCATGAATTACAGAAGCAGATAAAATGAATGAGCCACTACAGCTGTTTAGGCTGAATTCTTATAGAATAATCTGTCAGACACTCCAGATCCAGTTCCTGTAGGAACTCTAGTCCACTTCATGCAAAGGTTCCCAGCAACACAGGATCCACCAATATGCTTGTTAGGCAGAAAAATTACTTTCTATTCCTTCAAACTTCTGAATCTTATTCAGGAATACCCAAACTTCACTTTTAACTCTTCCTACACAGGATCAATATGAGTATTTTTGTAACCTCAGAAGCTCTCGGTTGTAAACAGAAATGATAAAGGGTAACATGCAGCAACTTGGAACCTGCCTGTTGATAAAGAATACCCACATTTAATATCCACTACCCCTCTAAGGGTAAGGGACAAGACTTTCCTGTGCTGTAAATATGTGCTGCATATTTTAAGGCATTCCAGATATTTAATTGTTGGGTTATGGATAAAATCTGCTTTCCATTGTCTCCTTGCCAGGACAGAAGGGACTTCAAAGCACGGCAACAAAATTCGGCATTCATCAGAGCCCACTGACAAGATTTCATCCCAGCCATTAACCTCTCAGCACTCGGAGCCAGGCTCACAATGGGAAAGGAACCCAGAGATTTAACTAATCCCATTCTAAAGAATGCTTGACTTCTGCCTACTGATGGAAGAAACCAGGGGGTGGGAGGGAAGGAGGGGGAAACACTGAAAGGGAGATGAAGAGAGAAAAGCCACACTGTACTTCAAGCTTGGAATTGAAAAAAACCTATTAATCAGGCTGTTGGAAAAAACATAGCCACCAAACATTTGCACTATTTATGCAGAAACAATTAGTTAGTGCTCATTAGGCACATTCACGCGATTTATCCCATAGCCCCCTCTCCCTCAGTGCCACCACTTCACAAACCAAAAGCTTCTTAAAATTATCAGTGCATTAAAAGCCTGCTCCCCCCGCTTATTCTGGGCAAGTCAGCATGAATAATGTGTCTTGCTCAGAACCACAACTTCCAAAACGCCCTCCCTCCCCAGTCCTATTGTGTTTAGCATCACTTGTTTAATTAGTTGGGGAGGGGTGGGGGGAAAGCAAGGAGGGATAGGAAGCATTTACCTGCACTCTCCTGGAATTGTGCAAGAACCATGCTTGGGGCTACATCCCTGACGACAAATAGCTGTTAAAACAACAAAAAAGAAGAGTATCAGCACACTGCCCGCTTCCGGCACCTCCACACTCGTGGGAACATTTTAATCTCTAACAGCACTGTAATCCTGCTGAATCCAAGCTTTTAACCAGTATCTCCAATCAAGTCTACCAGAAGGAAAACCAAGGTAGGTGTCTCCCTGGGATAGGAAATCTATCAGCTTTTCCTTTCTATAGGAAATCTGTTACTCTGACTCTGCAGAGGGATCACTCCTAGTACTGTTCAAAGAGCTGTTTGCATGTGGGAGAAACCATCGTGCCTTGCAGAGCTCAGGTCACTTGGAGTCTACAGGTTTTTCTTCTCTCTCTTTTGCAGGTGATCTGGATCACTCTCCCTGGCTTTACACCTAATTCAAAGGAGCTTTTAACTACTCTGGATTTAGTTCTGGCTGTATCTCTGAACAGATGGCATAGCAAGATGAGCAGCAATTCAAATTGCAGGTAAACTCAGTCATTAAGAGAAGCTGATAGTCAGTTCCTGCTTTCTCCTTCCCCAATTACCTAGGTAGCAGCTATTCCCTAGTAAACATGTTGAACATGATCTCAGGTGGAACAAACAAGCCTGGGACTTTTCAAACACCAAAGCTTTACACTTGCCAGGTCAGCTCTAAAACAAGTCTCTCCTTCCTGCTTGTCTTGAAGTTCTGCACCAAAGGGGAAATCCTTTTTGAAGTCAGCAGCAGAACTCCCATTGAAGTCAGTGGGCTGGGTTTTCTTCCCAAGGGCAAAGATGCGGATAATCAGAGAAAGAACACTTCAGCTAAGTGCCCAGTTCTGTCTCCAAGACTTCTCTGAGACTTCAAGGCAAGGCAGAAAGTACTCTTCTCCTGCCCCCAGCTCTCCCTGTAAAGAGCTGGTCACTGTCCCATCAGTCCATAGCCCCCTATCTGCACATCTGACGACCGAATGCAACCTGGACAGGCCGCCCTCAAATCCCTCCCAGTGCCCCTGGTCTGCAGGACGAGCATTTGTCACAAACCTTTGTTGCACTCTGGTCCCATCCAGCCTTCCAGGCAGGTCTTGTTGCCGTTCTGGTCGCAGGTGTGGTGGGTGAAGAAGTCGTCCCTGGGCCGGCAGAACTTGTTGCAGCCGAAGCCGTAGTAGTGCTCGGCGCAGGTGACGCGGATCTGGTACTCGAAGTGCGCGGCGCCCGCGTTGTGCTTGAGCGTCTGCCACTGCCGGCTGGGGTTGATCATGCCCGAGTGCGACGCCTTCTCGATGATGCGGTCGGGGTCTGCAGGCACAGGAGATGGCAGGGTTAGACCTCCCTGCAGCTGTCCCCATTGACCCCCACATCACAGCTCTCCAGCTTCGCAGGCGACACGCTCCGAGGCAGCCAGTTGGTTTTATTAACTCTGTTTCAGACAGTCAGATAAGGCTGCCCTGGAGCTACAAGCCATTAACTGAAACACCCATGCAGCATTATCAAACTGAACCAAGCTCCAAATCAAAAGGCACTGTTCAGTTACTGCCAATCGCTTACCCCTTCTGCAGCGTAAGGGCATCCACTAAGAATTCATGCAGTTCATGACTAAAGAAAATTCAGCTCCAACAGACTGGTACAAAACGTGTTTTCCCCTGCTCCTCCATTAATGGCACTAGTTTTGTTTTCAACTGGAGCATTTACAAAAACAACATACTACAATAGCCTAATAAAGCCATGTCTACAGGCTGAACACAGGCACTGCAAAAGGTTTGCAGCCTTTTCCTTATGTGCAAACACTAAATTGAAAACTACCAATTTCAGCATTCAGATGACATGGGCAATCTCACCAGATTTTGGCTGAGAAATACCATGAAAGTCCTGTCTTCAGACAGCACCTGAGAGTACAAAGTCAAGATGACCAGAGCTCAAAGCAGAAGACTCAAACTACTGCATATATGTGCTATGGATCCCCTTCCTCTCTACAGAGCATTTTAAAGTTTAGATTTGCACTTGACATTTAGTTCTGGCAAAAGTCTTCTGGCTTTCAGAGCCATACAACTGTCTGAATTATGGCTTGAAATAACAATATTTCACATTTGCTTGGAACATTGTATATATCTGTGGTATTTCACTTTGTAGTCCAGGTCTTGTGACTCAAACGATCTGACACTGCCTTACGACCTGCTGCTACCCAGCACTTGACTGCTGAGTGAAAGTTTATCGTAAAACAGCCAAAATATCCTCACAGACTGAGCTCAAAACCAACAGTGAGTACATGGGAGCATAATCCAGCGACAGGAGAATTTGAGGTAGGAAGGCAGTTTGCCAGTGATGTGTTAGCAGCGTGTGAAGTACTGGCACCTCTGAGTGTTAAGAATTCAAATGTACTGATGTGCTGCTTGTTGTTCCAACAACTACAAAAGATCCTTCTGGGATTTTACATAAGGCAGAGCTGAAGACTAATGAAGTCTCTACTAAAGCCATAAGATGACACATGGGCAGTTTTTAATCCAAGATACTTTTAAATGTCTTGCTAAGGACCTTTGATTTGCAGCTTTCAAAAAAAAAGAACTTCCTGACAGGCTTCTCAAGCCTCAGATACCATTATGCATCCACCACTAGGTCCTGCCTGCTTGTCTGCAGTTGGGAATGAAGTCAAAGCTCTCGCTGCACAGCTAAAAAGAGTGTCAAGACTCAGATGTTGTGAGCATCTGCCCATTTTTGGGGGTATTTGTGACTTGAGACTACAGCATTCCTTATGTGTTTACAGTGTGAAATTAAGGGCAACAACTTCTTGTTCACCTTCTGGTATTTCTGGTTCTATAATATTTTGCCATTTAAATCAGTTTTTATTATTCATTGGCACTAAGCCCCCAACTCCACAACTATGTGTCAGACTTTCAAATGCAGGCAGGCCTTTATTAATTTAAATCCTATTCACAGGTAATGTGGATGCCTAAGGACCTTTCCATACTGGTACATCCAGAGCAACATCATGCTCTGTGCCGTGCAGGTGTAAGGCTCTTAGATCTCATCAGCGAGATTATTGACTAATTCTAAGAGGTACTTAAGCAGATGCATATCTGCTCGTCTTGAATGGGGCTAGTCTGGCAATTACAGTTCCACTCATGCGTGCTGGAGATGGCTCTGCTGCACTTGCCAAGATTACACTCCATCCACAGCACAGCTGGAAAGCAAAGGCACTTCCCCAAACACCGAGTGTGCATAAAGACATCCTGCTCCTTGTGAGTAGAACAACTTTATCCTCTCCTGTAAGTGGCAGAAGAAAAGGAGAACGACACTCAATTTAGTTTTGCAAACCAGCCCCCCCCACCTCCACCCCCACACTCATTCTTGCTTTTCCAGTCTTTTCCTGTTCCCCCTTGGGAACATACCACTGACAACTATTTCAGTCCTTGGCACCAGAAAGGGAGTTAGTTGCCTTGAAAAAGTGATCTTTCCTTCTGCCTCTGCTCTTCCATTCTTCTCCTATCTGCCAGCTCATCAGGAAGCTCGTCCTTGCTGTACATCTATGACCTCTCACTCCAGCCATCAGCTCTTTGGAGACCCTAACCACAGCCTGAACTCAAATGGAAACACCCTTTTAAGCCCACGGGACTTCATTTTCTTCTGCAGGTGCTCAGATGAAACCCAGCTGCAGGTTCCCTCTGGATCAGGGATAAAATGTCTCCCATTGGATACACATTTTAAAGCTCCCCCCATCCAGCTGAATTCAAACACAGCCTCGCAGGTTTAAGCTCCCTTTCCATTAGCCATCACCCACAGTTTTCACAATGAAGCGCTGCATGTTCCTTCTTGTACAAGAGCTCCTCCACCCTTGCCTATTCCCACCTGTCAGAGTGCACTTACACAAGGGTGCTGACCCAGACTCCAGGGGAGGCATTGCAACAACCCTGCCATTCTTAGCCCGCACCAGCCACCCTTTCAGTTTTATAGGAAGCGATCCCAACACTGCAGAATGGTTAAGTAAATAAAAAGCAGCAGTCAGCCAGGCTTGAGACAAAGGGATCTTCTGAACTCCACTGCCTTCATCTGACTCAGAACCCCATGCTTTGATAGAAAGGTTAGAGGAAGCATTAACCCATTAGAAATTGATGAAGTGGAAGAGAGAGGCTTTCTGTACAACTCAGGCTTCCGCTCCACACTTCACTGTCAGAGACTCTGTTGGTTTTATTCACTTCTTGTGGCTACACTTCAAAGCTATAAATCCCTCTTTTTATTCAGTGGGCAACTGTATCAAAGGTTTTAGACACAAGGAAATGACCTATTTTGACTGCCCACCTTTGCCTTTCAGTGCTCCAATGTCTGGAAATTATAACTATGCAGCATCAGGAAGCAAAAACAACAGAAAGAGCCCAGACTTCTCTGAGCAGTTTGGGTGGCCAAGGACAGCACAGTTATTTTTGAAAGTCTTTGTTTCAGACAACTTCCAGCCACGGCTTGGTTTACATTGTGAAGTCTCTTATGCCCGCCTGGAATTCACATGCAACTGATACCAGTAATTTACAATAGCTCTTTGACATAGTTTGAGATGCAATGTCAGCCCATTAGCTTTATGTATGAAGCAACAGTAGCAAGATGGCAACCAGACAAGAACCAGAGTAAGAAAACCATTTGAGTTGAATCTTGGCTCCAACAAAGCACGATTCTCATCAACTTCAACAGGGCCAGAATTTAACTGCAAGCCACTCTTGGAAGTGAGACAAGAGAGAGTATGTGGTAAAGGAACGTAGGAGGAGTGGAATGTAAGGGGGGAAGGAAGCATCCACTCGAGGATCTTCTAACAACCGCATTGATCAGAGGATGCTTTCAGCGCTATCGAAAAGTCACACAAGGCCTACTAAACCCACTTTCATTGTTGAGAGCTCTCACGGGGTCTTTACGATTCAGTGGCAATTAGGGCAAAAGAAAACCCTAGACATCAAAAAACCCCACTCTTCTCATTATATGATGACAATTGTTTTGTTCTAATCGTTTTCTTCACTAGTCCTACAAGCCTTACTCGGCAGCTCTGGGAAAGCTGACTAAGTCAAGCCGTGCAGCACAAAGGAGAAGTTTTGTGCAGTGCAGTGACTGGAGTGACCTACAGATGGGTAAGTGACAGCAAAGCTGGAGCAGGAATGCAGATCAGGAACATATGCAAGAGCATGTCTGCACTTGGTCAAATGCACTGCTGAGAAATGAGGCAATTTTGTCTGAAGACAATTGTACTTCCAGAACATGAAAGCAAAGAAAGGGTTCATTGTGTAGCTTTGGAAATGAAGTTGTTTCATGAAAAAAGATGAGCTCTAATAATAGTAAAAGTGGCAGAGACCCAGTCTGAAACAACTCCCAGATCCTACTATAAACAAGACTTTCATTTTGAATTCAGGCATCTTCCATTTTTAATATTTCACTGCTGCTGCATCATCTACTTTCTTCTCCATATAACACTCTATATCCAAGAAATCCCCCAGCCACTGCTCCATGGCTGTGCTGGGGTAGAGTCTGAAATCACAGGTACTCTAGCAGGGCTGAATGAGGCTGGTTGTGGCTACCCCTGACAGGCCACGAGATTTGTCTCAAGCAGCAACTGCTTTTCTGGAATGAAGAATTAACAGGACACCCCATGTACATTTAAAAAAATATAAGGAGCAGATCTGCACAGAGTAGTTTCCAAGCTATGCTCTCCTCACCAATTAAAACATAAAAGCACAGCACTGTGCACACTTCTCCAAGGCCTTCCTCTCACAAGGCATGAAGCCCATTTCATTCCTGCATGGCTGCCCCCTTGGCACTCCAAGGCAGACTGCAAGAAGCTGCTGTAGGATTTCTGTAACATGGAGCACAGTGCTGCTGCCTGCTTGCTGAAGGAAAGGCCTGTTGTGTCAACAAAAGCTTTATGAGTTGAGATTCACACTCTCCCCTGTGGCTTTTACCACACACACCCTGTGTTAAAGCCCTAGGTTGAAATAGAGCTGATTTTGCCCACCTCCTTCAGTAACAGCAAGCAAAAAGCAGAACAGCTCATGCACCCAGAGACCCTGTGCAGCTTCCTCTAGCCACGGGAAAAGCTGAGCAGAATGGTTCTGAAACCAACCAGAGACATTCCAGGAGAAAGATCCCCACCCTTGATTTTCAGCCGGCCCTACCAGGTGGTGTCTGGTAAATATTTTTTCAGCCCCTGCATACAAACCCCCAGACATCCAACTCCCAAGGAAGAGCTTGTAGTAACTCTTCTTTCTCATCTACAGTCATTAGATGGATGTGGATATCAAGTCTTACACAGATTTTAAGTTGTTTTCTTTTTCAAAGCAGTACATTCAGTTTTGAGAAGTGCTTATAGAGTTTATAGAGAGGTCTCAGGTGAACAAGACTTAGCCTTCTGAATATTGGTCCTAATTAAAAAGAACAAAACAGGACCAAAAAAACCAAATTAAGAAACCTGAAGAAATCCTTTGGCTTTTACTCTCCCAGAGGAGAAAGAAGGAATTAACAGCATCTATTTTTAGGCATCACACTGTTGGTGCCTAGGTGAGCAAGCTACTCACCCTCTGCAGGCAATGTGAGTGAGACAGGCTGCTGCAGAGCCTGGAGGAACTGCTCCAAGCTCTTTGGGGCAGAGCTTTTCCCTCTCCTTGTGCTCTAACTCACAGCAAGCTGGGGAGGCTCCCAGAGGCCTTTCAGTGCCTGGGACACAGAGGTGTCAGAACTAAATAAGGCAGAGGAAGGAACACTTACTTGTGGAGTTATCATTGTAATCCCACGCCTCGACAAGCAACGTGTAGGATCTCTGCAAAAGAGAAATAAGAGTTAGTTTCAAAGCCACACATGACTAAGGGGAAAAAAAACAACCTGCCAACAATTTTAATTAAAAAGAAAAATTCTGGTCTCTACCCCAAAGCAGATACTTGAACACAGAAATAGGTAAAAGATTATGCTTTAGACAAACATGATCTTCTTGAAACCCCGTAAGCTACCTTATCCAGTCTGACTTAGAAGACCTTTCACCTTGGATAGCTCATCTTTGTCATCATTAAAGCATCTTATGTACTTAACCAGGAAGTGCAGCCTTTGACACTGCACTCCAGCCGAAATAAAGCATGTGGGACAACTGCACATGGAAGACAGAAAGCACCAGGATAGCACAGCAGCATCAAAAAACCCCAAGCCAAACCCCCACTCTCAAAAACTGCTTCAAAAGAATTTTAGTTACAGAAAAATAGTCTGGATGTCCCTTCCCCCAGCCATCCTGAAAGCAAGGAGTGTTGCTAAGATTACTGTGCCCTGCCTTGACAGCGCAATCTCCAGGGACTTTGCTTTTCAGCACCCCCTTTGAAAGCTTTGTCTGCACGAGGGCCATCGCAGCTCCCACAAGTATCAGGTAACGGGGAAGGACTGATGGATATGGAAGGGGGTGGGGTGAGAGAGAAGCGCTGTAAAACAAAGGCTGAGAAAGCCTCCTCGGAAGAGCAGGGGAAGGCAAGTCCGCTCTCCACCCGTGTCCCTTCTACAGATGCTCCAAGCTGCCAATGAGCTCTCCAGCAATAATAATCATAAGCATAAACTGACTGAAGTGACTCCATGGGCTGGAAAGATGCCAGCTATTACATCTAAGCCACCTTTATCTTCAATCCTAACTTGAGAACAAGACCCATTAAAACATCTCCTCCTCCTCCTCCAGCTCTACCCCGAGATATTATTATCCGGGCTGTATCTTTCAAAGTTGCCATTTAGCCAGCCAAACTTACACAATGATTAAAAACCAAAACAAAACACCTCCTCTCCAGAAGGAAAGGGGGGGGGAGAGCTGAGGAAAAATAAGCAAAAAATATGACTTGAAAAGTAAAAAATAATAATAGCCACAGATAAGGCAATATATGTAACATCTTTCCAGAGAGCAGAACAATAACACTACAAATAAAAATTCCGTGAGGAGTTTTGATGCTTTGCCATAGAAACTGTGCATTGCAAGGTTTATTTCTCCTTAACTGTGTCCATGTTCAGTCACAGGCTGCTAATTTGTGGTCTGCAGTGCCTCTCTGTAACAGAGACCAAAATGCAGTTCTGAGAGGGAGCTGCTACAAGGTGCACGGGGGTAAGGTAGAACTCAGACTTCTGAAGAGGAAGGGAAACAAAAAAAGGAGGAAAAAAAAAGAAAAAAGAGAACAAGAGTTGGAGCAGACTGCTTTCTCACGACTGGACACAGCATGAGGCTCTGAATGAAAACCCAGTTTGTGATGGACACCGGCTTGCTGTATAGCCTAAATATGTTTCATATTCAAACCAGGATTCCATTCCGCTCCTGATAACTGTGGGAAAATGCTTCCAAAAGTAAGCAAAGCTGGGCAAGCCAAGACATGCACCCAAACTTCTACACAGAGGCTCCATTGGCCTGAACCATTTTTGGTTAATATTTCATGAAAAGTTATATGTTACTTGTTTCTATTCTAGACCGAGTCTGACAACCTGAAAGAAACTGTGAAAATCAAATAAACCAAAATGAAATGCAACTCAATCATCTAACACCGCTTAGAACAGATTTAAGAAGTCCTTGCACTAGTCAGTGGTGAAAAAAAAAAAGAAAGAACCAAAACAAACAAACAAAACCAGAATAGAACTCCCGAGCCATATTACAGATGCAGATTGCACTATCTTGGGTGCTTCCTCAGTGGTTTAATTACCAACATTAAGCAGCACAAGCTCAACATGTTACTGCAAGCTTGACAAAAAATATTATGATATTAGAGAATGAATTATGACAACTAGCACTACTTCCAATAAAGTTAAGGATGTTTTCCTTTCGGCCTTGCATAATTGTTTTGGAAGATATTTTGTCTAAACTCATAGCAACAGTTCCCTGCTGGTTCTCAGGACTGTTTACCAACACACCTAGCCCTTAAGGAAAGGAAAGGCTGAATCCTAGCTGTGAGTGCTACTGTTGCTAGATACTTGTGTGACCACTTTCCACTACCACACAGGAGTTTGGTTAAAACAGAGGAGATGCTTCAGCTGACCTGGATGGAAACAAAATGCAGGGGGAACAGACCTACCCTGGCAATTCCCTTGCTTCTAACTGCCCCCTCTCATTTTGTCTGAATGCATTAAATGAAGAGTGCCTGTCCTGAAAAGGGGTGATACAAAGAATGGCATTTGATCCCTTGGCTCTGTCCCTCTCAGCATGGGGAAAAGACCAAAAAAACCCAAGACTTTGTGTTCAGAATGGGACACTTTTAAACAAAAGCCACACAGACACCCAGAGCCTCACACCAGTAGCAAACCCCCTTCAACAATCCAACTATCACATACCCCTAGCTAATTCCCTCAGCCCTCCCAGAAAAGCAGCTCCGTGCAAAGCTGCACTGTTGAGATTTTTTAGAAGTGCATATCATCCCCACTCTATAGATCAAGGATTCAGATATCTCAGGAATGACTGCTTACAGTGTGGAGGTTTAAGTTTTCCCATGCCCATAGATGACCTCTGCCCATCTTTGAATAAATATATATATCCAGACACAAGAATTCCACATCATGCACCTTATTCCATCAAAGTGATGTCCTAGGCAACAAGGCAGCAGTGAACTCTCCAGAGTCACACCCAATTAGCCACTGTAAACCTGAGCTTGACCAGAAGGCAGGGATTCTGGCTTGAGAGGAAAGGCAGCTTGAAAGGAACAGCAAATCCTTACACTTTGCAGATAGTCACGAGGGCTTTGAAAGGCAGCATGGCCAAATTTAAGCAGAATTTCTGTGAGTGGAGCTAGGAGAGGATGGAAATGGTCAAGTTCTCCAAGAAACAAAGCAAGCATCAGTGTCCAAGAGCTGTTTTCCTCAATGACAAGACACTGACACTGTGTCTTGATCCCCTGATAGTACAGCTCGAGAGACTGTGCAGACCAGAAACCCATCAGAAATTGTCCCTTTTAAGGATCTCAAAGGGCAGTGCAACCTCCTTTCTGGTTATTAAAACTAATCCTGGCAGCTGCAGGTAAACAGGTGTTTAAAGCTCTCTGCTTGATTACCCTCTTCCCTCCCTTCACCCAGACATCCACCCAAAGGAGGTGCTTTTGTGCTCTGGCTTCTGAAGGCACTCTGCGAGTCAGTGGGCCAGAGCAAGATTAAAACACCCGGCTCCTCACTGCAGCGCTGCCTCTGTTTTCAAAGGGCTCGCAACTCGTCTAACTCCTTTCCCTCCTAGCCCTGTGGTTAGAGCGTGCAAGAGCTTTGCTGAGCATGTGAAACCATGACTAGACAAATGCAGTGGGAAGTTTTGCATTCAGAGCCCTGCTCCTCCTCTGCCAAACAAGGAGAGCAGGTTAAGCCCAGCCGCCCTCGCCTGACGCTGTGCACAGCTGTGAGCAGCAGCCTGAGAACGGCGCTCACACACACCCTGTCTGCACCCAAGGACACCGGCACAGCAGGCCACAGCCGTCCAGCTGTGACACCTGCACAAGGGAAACTGAGGCACCTTTCACTGTGCCCAGGGGCCAGGGAGGAGGGCATCTCTGAAGCTAGCCACAAACCCACTTCCTCTGACCAGCACCAGGACTGTCACTCCACGACGACACCGCGCAGATGCATCACCACACTGTGCCACGGGCGGTCAACCCTGACAACTGAACATCCTTCAAAGGAGTTAAAGGTAACTGGCTCCTCACCCAGAGGATATGCGAGTGTACTCCAGAAAAGGAGGAAAGCCACCTAACCCTCTTAACCTTTTGTGAAATGGAACATCATCAGGAAGCTCCTCTTTGGGACAGCCTACGCAAGGACACGGCAACACCCTACAAAGCTGTTACTCCCTCAAGCTGGTGAATACAAACACAGCCCAAGCCGTGGAAATCTCTCTCACGCCTCAAAGCCTATGGCCAAGAGCTCGGCTGAACCCCAGCAGGCAGCCCAGCCAAGAGCCTCATCAGAATATGCCCACACCAAAACACAGCAGGCTGCTCCTTTAGGCTTCATCCTGAGCAGCTCCTTTGCTGCTCTAAGTGCCAGTAAACCCTGCAGTGCCACCGAAAGGAGACATGGAAACCAACTGAACCATGTCAGCAGCCCCTCGAGAGACCTGCCCCCGTCCTGCCTTGGCAAGGGAAGGCAGCAGCCCAAGTCAAGACCTTCGTGCACCAGCACGGCCACCCTCCTGCCAAAGGATGGAGGACACAAAAGTACCGCTATCCAAACTATGCATACGCTTAAGCATCCAGTAAACCAGGCTGATCTCTGATCTGGCAAAGCCTGCTGGAATAATGAGTATCCTGTGAATACATAATGTGCTGAAGTTGCCATTGTGTGAAGTAAGTCCATGGTTTGTCTGGGAGCCGAGCAATGCTGAGTCTACTGCTGCTTCCTGTTGCTTGTCCTGTATTAGCATTATTTTTGGATAGGCCCCATTATGTTCTGTAATCCTCACTGCAGTCAGTATGGCCACACTATTGTTCTTGGTTAATATTAGCAGTCAATGCCTCTGTCTGGGTGGCCGGACTACAATGTATTCCAATCATAAAACTAGCATGCATTAACAGGACAATGTACTGGGCTCAGGGGGGAGACTTGGGGTCTTCCCTCCACCCTGTCTTTAAAAAAAAATAGGTAAAAAAAAGTATAGTAGCTTCTTTTCTCCCCCTTTTCCCCCCTCTCTTTTTTACCTAATGATTTCAAGTGATCTCAGCTAGCAGGGTGCTTCATACAACAGCAGCATTTTAATCAGCACCTTATCTAGTTACGGAGTTATTTTCTCACGGAGCCCCACTTGTCAAAGAGCAGCAGATAGGCCAAAATGTCAATGGTTGC